ATGAAATAATTGATTGCACAAAACTAATAACTATATCCTGGTATAGTTTTTCCTTTTTTAAACTAGCTTAATCCCACATTGAGTATTTTTAAATTTTGGCATCAAATGCCATTTTGACTAGTGTGTCACTTTTACCAGAATAACTTTTGTCTGAAAAGCAAGGCACTCATAAATCATTTTTCAACATAACCTCTCACATCAGTCACACAAAACATGCAGGATTTTTATGACTTCAATTCAGCAAATTGTAAGTGCAATTTTATAGTTATTTTTTGTTTGGTCACCAGAGAATTCAGTAAACTAATCAGATGAATTCCATATACTGTCATCATCTAAACTCCCAGGGACAGTATATGGGCATTGCTTGCTCTGATGATAGGTAAAAAAAGAAATACTGATTTATCTGACTTTGCCTATTGAATCTCAGCTTGAGGGATAGAGGGGGCAGTTCTTAGCCAAATAATTCACATTGAAACAAGATGCTTGTTTTAACACTAGAAACAAGCCATGCTAAAAACATCAACCTTAATTGTATATTTTAGTTTTAGTATTGCCATTATATATACATAACCTTAGAAAAGACCTAGTTTTTAATTTAAATACCCATTACAGTTTGGGTTCTGCTACCTCATTCTTTATAGCTAAAAAAATAAAACGATCGCACCATTTCTTGTTGAAGCAAAGAAAAAAAGTTGAGAGAGTAAGTAACAAGAAAAAATACATTTTTAAAGGACCTAAAAGTTTAGAAACAGGCTAATTTGACTACACATATGTCATTTCAATGGGAGATAATATCTAAAATATATATAATTGTGCACAAATATCACATATGTAGAGGGACTGATTGCTGCAGACTTTTGTTATATTTTTTAAGATTTTGAAACTCAGTGTAATGTGATCATATAATCCACACTTTGATCTTTAATGGGTAACTTATACTAACGTTTTCAGAACACACTAGTGCAAGTATTTTATCTTTTTCTTATAATTGACTCACAAAAACCCAGTCTGTTTTCAAAACTAGTGTGATTCAAGTAAGAGGTCATTGGTTTGTACAGATGGTATTTTAAATACACTCACCCCTATTTAGATATTAATATTAATACATATCTAGGTAAAAATGAGTAAACATTTATTAAATACTCTCTAGGTGCCAGGTAATTCATTGAGCTTTTTGTATGGATAATATATTTATTTGTTAAAATTATTATATTTAATTTACAAATATAGAATGAAGGCTTAGAAATGTTAATATTCAAGTTCACAGAGCTAGTAACTCATGTTTGTGTTTCAGTGAATTTGTCCTATCAAAGCCATTTTCCTCTTTTACTGACCCTTTTAACCGCTAAGTTATACTATCACAGCATATCCATACTATGAGTATGAATCCATAGTTGAAATAATAACCTTACTTTAAATTTTACGTTTTCCACTGAATTCTATATGTGCTAAATTGTACATATGCTGTTATAGGACATATTTATAAGGACAGCTTTAAAATAGACCAAACATTTAAGAACATATAGAAAGGTAATTTGAATGTTACACATTGTTCAAATGGGAGATTTTTAATCATTTTTGTCATAGTAATAAGGCCTTAAAGTCCTTTCATGTCCATGCCATATTTTATTATTTTATCACTCTATTAGACACAGGGAGTAGATACTAATTTCAGTGAGGAAAATAGAGAATAGTTAGTTCCACTTCTGGGTGCTTTCTTTCTGGGCCATACTTATCAAGATGAATTCTAACATGGCAAATATGCACTATAAATTATACTGAATTACAGAACTTTAAAGATGTGTAACACCACCCAAGATACCTGCCTGAATGAAGAGATGTGTACTTTAACATAACACTTTTTTTTTAATATATATACTTTTTAAATTTATCTTTATTGTTTTGTTTTTAAGTTTTATTTTTGTTTAAAATATTACAGATGTCCCTTTTTCTCCCCAATGACCTGTTCCACCCAGTCCCTTCCCCCTCCCCAGTCCCTCTCCCCACCATTGTCCGTGTCCTTGGGTTGTGCATACATGCATATAAATTCTTTGGTTACTCGCTCCTGTTTCATGAGAGGAATTGTCTATTTTGTATACGGTTTCAAATCACTCTGTTTCATCATTTTGAATTCAAACTAATATTGGGCAAATAGTGAATACTGTTAAATTATAGTAGTAAATTCGGAAAGTCAAGCTGTGATTTTGAGCAACTCTGACTTCATGATTTAAAATGCTGCTTTCTTATGCCACATGGAACAATTCTTATTTCCTCGGAAACTTTGATCATAGGTATTTTTTCCTTTAAGCTTTAGCATTCCTAAATAATTCTGGTTTGGATTAGGGGTCATGTTTTGAAGATAGGTAGAACCTTGCACATCATATTGGAGTTTTAATTATTCTATTATATAATTATGTACTTTCTTATGATATAATTTAGACTTAAAAAATAATCTGCTTTAAAATTTCTCACGAGGCCTTTCTTAACATCCTTCACTCATCTCTAAAATCTGCAATTAAAATCAGTTCCAACTATTTCGCAAGTAGACTACATCTTATGCTTTTCTCTCTCTGAATTGTGTTTAGATTAACTTTAAACTCTTGCCTTGCAGAGGAAATAAGCTTCTACATTCTTAGGGAAAACTGTTAAACTAAAGGATCTGACAATGTAATTCTCAAATGAGTTTAAAGAACTTATGGCTTAAGTTCTTTAAACTTAAGTGAATGTGAATTCTAATTTACATACTTTGAGCTTGGCTACTGTTTTTGATTAACATGCATTTTGTACATTAATTGCTCCCTTCAATCCCATGTCAGATTTATAGTAGGTAAGTTATACTCTCTTAAACCTCACTCTATTATTCATTTAAAGGAAGATAAAAGATCAGTATAGAAAATTTCAGAGGTAAACCACGATTGGCAGAAGAAGATAAATCAGCACATTCACATATATTATTTGTGTGTGTTTTGTATGTATGTATGTGCAATATATATAGATGAGGATATGTAAATAGATATCCAGAATATATAAAGAATCATTATAACTTAATAATAAAAAGTCACAGACAACCCGGTTTTTAAAAAAATGGTCAAAAGATTTGAAAAGACATTTTACTGAGGAAGACATATGAATGGTCAAAAAACACATGAAAAGATACTTAAAATCATTAGTCATCAGGGCGTTGGAAATTAAAACCATTATAAAATACAACTAGATACCCAGTAGAATGGCTAAAATTTTAAAAGACAATACTAAGTGTTGGTGAGGAGTTAATGCAACTTCAACTTTCATGCATTGCTAATAGGAATATAAAATGATACCACCATTTTGAAGAACAATTTGGCAATTTCTAAAAAAGTTAAACATATACTTAACATGTAAGATCAATTCTATTATTAATTATTTGTCTAAGGGAAATGAAAATTAATGTCCCCACAAAGACTTGCACTCAAATGTTAGTAATTTTGATCATAATATCCAAAATCCAACCCAAATACCTATCAGTAGAAGAATAGATACACCAAATATAGTATGTCTGGTACAATGAAATACTGTTCAGTTATAAAAAGGAACAAATTGCTGATACTTGTAACAATATGGATAAATGTCCAAAACATTACAGTGAGCCAAAGAAACCAGACACTGTATGATTCCATTTATATGAAACTCTAGAAAAGACACATCTAATATGGGCTCAGGGTGAGTACAATTTACTGTTAAGGGAGATGGTGTATGTGGGGTTGATGGAAATGTTCTATATCTTTATTAACATGGTGTTTACAGGTTTATACACTTGTCAAACTTAATGACCTTTACATTTAAAATAGATGTCTTTATTGTGTGTGAATTATACCTGAATAAAGATGAAAATTTAGTTTTTACAAATTCTCTTTATAGTTGATTCTTAAAGGAAAATAGTTCAAATGACGAAATGAACACCCACACATAACATCAGAATTAAGGCCTGTTTGAAACTTCATAAAAACTTTTCTAAAAACAATTATTAATATCTAAGTATAAAAATTTGGACCTTTTTTGTATTTAAACAGAAAATGTAGAGTACTTCACTTAAAATTATAATTGAATACAGCGATGTGTTATCATAGGAAAGTATCAGTTTAGTACAGAAACAACTAAGAGTCACATCCAAAATAGTGATGTTAAATGATACAGAGAAATTATATCATGAAGACATTTTATTTGTATTTTTAGCAAAGATAGAACCATATATTAGTGTGAAGAGATGGATGTTGAGTGAATATTAATTTGTTGAGCAAACACGTAGTATTAATGAGGAGGTGCCGTGAGTGAGTGTGGCTCGCAATAAATGGCTTGCCTGGCCTTTTCTTTATAGCTGTTTTCTTACAGGAATTGCTATCAGCATATTTTCCTTAGTCCCTTTATTACTTGAAGCCATATCCTTCTTCATACCATTTTCTCCAAAAGAAGTGAAGTCACCACCTCTCATTTTAGTTTTTCGTTTTAAATCCCCGACTAAAAAAACTACATTTGTTCCCGCTTTATTCCTTACCTCCAGTTATAGTAACTTAGCAGGTTACTATGTATTTACTCACCCGAGGTATGCTGTATCTCACAAAGTTTTCAGGCAGTCTTTGTGTTATAAAGAGCACATTATTATAGAAATCTTATGTTCAGTGGTACAGGAAATTAGGAGTTTATTTCCATATGTAGAGCATCAAAAATGTGTAAAGTACTTTAATACATCTGTTTGTCTTCTCCCAAGGTAATAATTTTTTTATTATCCTTTATTTTTTTCGTTCATTTTTGGAGGCTACTGCAAAAATCACTCTTATTCCTCAAATAACTTCTCCTGCCACCCAGGCCTCCCAGTTAGAGTATAGAAGTGATTATTATTATTATTATTATTAATCATTATTATTTTTGAGGCTTCATGGACCCGATGGGATGGCAAGTTCGGGCCCCTTCCCTCGCCCTTCCCCCGGGCCGCCTGACCACACCGGTCTCCTCCGACCCCGCAGGTTTGTCATCGGGCGCGAGAAGCCGGGCCAGGTGAGCGAGGTCGCGCAGCTCATCAGCCAGACGCTGGAGCAGGAGCGGCGCCAGCGGGAGCTGCTGGAGCAGCACTACGCGCAGTACGACGCCGACGACGACGAGGTGGGTCCCGCGGCTCGGGCCTTCGCCGTCTCCCGGGGAGAGCGTGGCCACGCTCGGCCTCACGGATAAGAAATATTACTTGCTCTTGTTAGTCACAAAGTAATGGTGTTCCGTCGACAGCGCGCAGACTAAGGGACCCAAGAAGTCACCCTTTGTCACGCTGTTACAGAAATTCCCGGGACAGCGAAGAGTGAGGACGCCCCAGTGCGGACAGCGCTGCCCTTATGGTGTGGGTCAGGTGATGCTCTGTCTCTGATTTGTGTGTTTTCCAGCCTTCACCACGTTTTCCACAAGCGTATGACGCTTTCTCAGAACAGCTCAGGCCGCGGCCGTGGGAGGGGCGCGCGCACGCA